TCTGTGAAAAGTCAAATTTATGATACAATCCAGTCAAATGCAAAACTAACATGTTTACCCTAGACGACTTACCGGAAGTATTCTCTAGTAATTTCAAGATTTTTTGTTAATAGAAGTACGCCAATATTTACAAAGGAATATTTCCAAAGAAGTCTACTATAGAGTAAACTTCCTCGGAAGTCTTCCTTCAAAATTTTCAATTGCAAAAAATGACGATGACCTTCTATAAGTCTGCAAGACGACTTTTTTTGGAAGTCATCTACATCAATAATAATCTTTCATTTTCTATAAATTTGTAAATATTTTTTTGACATTTTTTTGTTAATTCATGTATATTAGTCAATATTAGGACTACTGAATAAAATTAATAACTTAATTGGTAATATTTATGAGGTTACCAACATTCAGGTTTATTAAAATTTCTAGCTAATTCGAGAAGACTATTGAAGTCTTCTACGTTAGTTTTTAAAAAATTGTAAAGTAATTTTGAGATATGTTTTTTTTTTAATTTTCAAAAGTGTTAAGTAATTTCAAGAATATCAAGTCATATGGTATAATATGTCTTTTTGATCATAAGATATTTTTTTTTTAACTTTCATAAAATTTGAAATTTTATTTTCACTTAAAAATTTTGAGTTTTCCGCTTAAATTTAATTTCCCGCTTATATTTTAATTTTCTTCTTTGAATTTAAGTCTTCCAAGAAGACTTCCCACCACTCATCCAGAAGACTTTCCATAAGACTTCTAATGAAAGTGTTTTATCTTTTAACTTATGTAATTTTTGATCTTTTGTGAATTTGACTAAGTTTTTTTTGAAAAGTCTTCTCCCTTAACTGTAATGAATTTGACTATTTTTGTGTTATTATGTTTTCCAAGTTGTATGAATTACTTCAATAATGTCAAGTAATTTTGGCAAGATAATATTGTATTGAATAAAAATACTTGATATGGGAGACTTTCTGGAAGTCCTCTAGCGCATTATATGTTAGAAGACTTCCAAGAAGACTTCCCATAAGTCTTCCAAAATCTGACTTAGATCTGAAAAAAACCCGCAAATCCAAAAATGTTCAAATGACTTCAAAAATATAAAATAAATGGAAGATGAGATAGATCTACCTTAAAGAACACACAAAAATACATTTGGTGTTTTCATGTTTAAAGAGATTAGAGAGAGATTGGAGAATTTTAGTTTGAGAGAAAGGTAAGAGCTTTATGCAACAAAAGGTTACTAAATGAGAAGAAATTAGACAATAAAACTTACCAAAACGCTCAAATCTGTTATGAAAGAGGAGGCATGGAAGAAGATTATGTCAAAAGACTTCTAGGAAGTCTAGTAGCGCATTATATTTTAGAAGACTTCTGAGAAGATATCATATATAAAGAAAAATTTACAAATTCTCTCTCCTCCTCTCAAATGGCAGCAACAAAAATGTAATGTTCCTCATTCTAAAACTCTCCAACCTCTCTCTAATCTCTTTGAGTTTATAGACACCAAATATCAATTTATTGTTTTTGTCTCATGTCTTTCTCACTAATTTATCTTGTTTTTTAAGGTTTTTCATCACATAGTTCTCATCTTACACTTATTTAAAAGTTGATTTATAAATTTTAGATATGTATTTTTGTGTGTTCTATAAATGTGATCTATCTAATTCCGCTCATTTTCTCTGTTTTTAAACCATTTGAACGTTTTTGGATATATAGATTTTTTAGATCTGAATTTGGATATGCAGATTTTTCAGATCTAGATCAGAGTTTGGAAGACTTCCCAGAAGTCTTCTAAAATATAATACATTAGAAGACTTCCAGTCTTCTGGAATCCTTCTTGGAAGTCCCAGGCTTCTATGACTCAAGTCTTCTGGAAGACTTTCTAGAAGTAAAGTGTTCTCCCGCATCTCCTTTTCATAATCTTTCACTCACTTTCTTTGTTTTTAAGTCATTTGAACGTTTTTTGATATGCAAGGTTTTTAGATCTGGGTTTGATATACATTTTTTCAGATTTGGATCAGACTTTGGAAGACTTATGGGAAGTCTTCTCGGTAGTCTTTTGACACAGTCTTTTTCCTTATCAAGTGGAGTCCAAGCTTGTGTTTGTAGAGGAATGATCTATAATAGTTTTGTTTGTGTTATGTTTTGTGTTTTACATGTGTACTCTTTTAATTGTGTATTTTTTTGTAAATTTAAAGAGATATTAATGAATTTTTTTGGTAAATATACATCAAGGATGAATATTGTCTTGCCAAATTCAACACATCAAGGATCAATACTCATACCAAGAAACATTTTTATCACTCTACCCAATCAGGAAAACATCATTGGTGCATATAACAATAATTGCTTAAGAGATGGAAACAATAGTAACTAGCCAAAACATATCACATTATTTACAAGTTTGTGCTGGAAACTTAATAAAATTTAGTAAAATCAAACTTAATTTTGAAAATTCAAGTTTTACATATCTTGAAATTACTTAACATTCTTAAAAATACAAGTTATACAAAAAAACATAGAAGATTTTCCGGTAAGCCTTCTCATATTAGCCTAAATAAATAGTGTGAGTTTTATCCAAATTCTCTGAATCAAAACTAATATATCAGTCCCAAAAAGCTTAATTGATAAAATAATGTTTAGAAATATAGACTTCATGATCGATTATCATAATTATAAACAAGGTTAGAAGACTTACATTTAAGTCTTCTAGTGAGAAGACTTCCTAGAAGACTTAAATGCAAGTCTTCTAACCAGAAGTAAAAGTTGATGATAATTTTTATAATCTCATGTGTTGTGCATATATTTGGTATGTGGTTTCTTCATTAGAAGTCTTCCAAGAAGTTTTCTCACTAAAAGTTTTTAAATTCACAAAATAATCCAAGAAGACTTCTTCATAAGTATTTCTCTCATTAGTTAGAAATATTAATAAATATGAATATAGGTAACCTCATAAATATCACCAATTAAGTTATAAATTTCACTTAGTAGCCCCAATATTGATTAATTTACATAAATTAACAAGATAATGTTAAAAAAATCTTTATAGTTTTAGAGAAAATGTAGGTTTATTAAAAATTAAAATTAAAATTTTAGGTTTTTATAGTTATAGAGAAAAAGTCTTTATAGTTTTAGAGAAAATGTAGGTTTTAGGTCATTTTTGCAATTAAAATTTCACAAAGGAAAACTTATAGAGAAGTCTACTTTACATCATACTTCTTTGGAAGTCTTTTTTGTAAATACTGGTTTACTTCTGTTAATTTTTTTTTTGAGAATACCAGAGATAACTTACATGTAAGTCGTTTAGGATAAGTAAGTTAGTTTTGCATTTGATCGGACTGTGTCAGAAATTTCACCACTTACATGTAAGTCGTCTAGTTATAATTAAATATTGATTTTTAATTTTCTACCGGACGACAGGGAAAAAAAAGTAAATTTCCGACACAATCTGATCAAATGAAAAACTAACCTATTTATCTTAGATGACTTACATGTAAGTCTTCTCTGACATTCTCGAGATTTTTTTAAAAAATAATACTAGACGATTTCCATAGTAGTCTTCTCTAAAAACACATATAAAAGTCAATTGCAAAAGTAACTTTTGTATTGACCAAAAGACTTTTGTGTAAGTCTTCTACTGCCAGAAGACTTACGCGTAAGTCGTCTAGCCGAACAGATCTGGAAAAAATTGATTTCTTACCTTAAATCAGTGAAATAACTTCCTTAGCACATAGAAGTCTTCTCCAAGAACACAAAATCTCAAAAAGTGACCTTACCAAGAATTATAAGCTTGAATGGCTCTATGAATCATAAAAAATTTAAAATCAAAATCTTAGGTTTCTTTGGATGAATATAAAGAGAAAGTGAAAGAGAAGTTGTTTTTAGTTCATAAGAAGTAGGATAGAAGGAGTGTAAATCGATTTTAGGTGCATTAAGAGTTTCAAATTGGTTGTTCATGGTGGTTTGTGTATTGATGTCAAGGGCAATCTTGTAAATACTTGAAGATGATGAGGTTGAGAGAGTAAAAAAAACTATTTTCAAAAAAAAAGTAATGGCATTTTCGTGAATAATCTAAACTTGTGGGATCAAATGAAAGTTCTAAAGAAAATAGGTTAGTTTTGTGTTTGAATTTGAGTTTTAGATTACTTTTGGAAGAAACCCTTTATATATATATATATATATATGTAATGAATGAATGAATTTAACTACTATTATAAAGTTTAGATTAATTAGTTTTCAGAATTTTATGATTTCATGTATTCATTACTAATAAAAATATATTAAAAATCATTTTTATAATTGTTTGTATAGTATCATATGTATATTATCAATTTATATAATGTAAATCTTTTATACTTAATAATTTCTATACATAAATTAGGTTAATGTATCTATATTTAAGATGTTTAATTGTATATTTAGAAATATTGATTAGATTAGATAATTATAGGATTACATTTCTTTTAAGTTTTTAATTAAATAAATAAAATATGAAAAACCATCATCCAGTCAAATTATAACAATTAATTGAAGTATTCTCCTATAAATTATACGTCAGCGGAGACACTTAAGTGACTTCTCAACTAATATATATAAATATATATATTAATATTATATACTTATAAAATACATAAATGTTATTTTTGAAAAAAAAATATTTATATAACAAATACTTTAATGTTTCACTCTGCACAGGATGCCGATTATTACCTAATATTATTATAAAGCATAGAAAATCTCGGTAAATTATATAACACCATTTGAAGAAGATTAAGAAAATCACCGTTTGTGTTTGTGGTGAAGTGAGTAGAAAGTTCAGAGCTCAAATTCCATAGGAACTGAATTCAGTCAAACTATGAGTCAAATTCCATAGGAATTGAATTCGGTCAAACAATAAGTCAAAGAGTGTACTAGTCTAGTAGTAGGTTGACTACGCGTACCTACAAAAGATGAAAACGCGGAAAGGGCATAATGGTCAACTAGGAAGATTTACAATTTCCTCTTTTTTTTTTACAAGTGAGAGGAGAGTCTAGTAGTAGGTTAACACACTTGTTCCTGTGTTAATCCTCTAACCAGTTTCGACTATCTCTCCACTCCATCCTTCTCTTTCAAAAAAAAAAAAAAATTAGGGTTTTTTGGTCCTTGCTCGATTCCACGATCTCTAAAGCATTCTCTCTGGATTCTCGTCTCTGATCAATCCTCTTTTATTCTAAACCTAATCAGAGAAAAACCATGTCGATAGTTGAAACTCTGTCTCTGGAACCAAACCCCAAAAGACAGAAGATCGAACCGATGTTCAACGACTCCTTGTCTTGTGTTCACTCGTTCGCTCGTCACGGTGTCTGCACCGCCTGCAATTCAATGATTGAAAAGCGCCACTTCAGATCATTCCACTATTACTCCGATGGTCTCCAGATAAGCCACGACGCCTTGGCCTTAACAAAACGTGTCACAACCAAGTTTTCTTGTATGAGCGACAAGAAACTTCACCTAGTCCTTGACCTAGACCATACCCTTGTCCACACCACAATCGTTACATCTCTCACGGAAACAGAGAAGTATCTAATCCAAGAAGCGGGTTCAAGGCACGATCTCTGGCTCTTGAAATCCGACGATGATCCCGTCGAGCACTTTATAAAGCTACGTCCTTTTGTTCTTGATTTCTTGAAAGAAGCGCACAAGATATTCAACATGTATGTTTACACAATGGGTAACCGCTGTTACGCTGAATCCGTCTTGGAGCTTATTGATCCGAGGCGAATCTATTTCGGTAAAAGAGTGATAACGAGAGAGGAGAGTCCTTACATGAAGACGCTTGATTTGGTTTTGGCTGATGAGCGTGGTGTGGTGATTGTGGATGATACACGTGATGTATGGCCTGATCACAAGAGCAACTTGATTGAGATTAGCAGGTACAACTATTTTAGGATGAGTAATAAGCAATGTTCAAGGGCATACTCTGAGGAGAGGATAGATGAAAGTGAATGCAATGGTGGGTTGGTTAATGTTTTGAGGTTATTAAAGGAAGTTCACTGTGGATTCTTTAGTGTCAAAGAGGAGTTGGAGTCCAAAGACGTGAGGTTGCTGCTACAAGAGATTGAATTTAGTCGTGGTTTACTACACGAATAATCTTTTGTTCTTTAGAAACTTCATTTTTAAGCACTGTAAGTTACAATTTGTAACTCTTTGATCTCGTTCATATGTAAGAACTTTGGAAAGTTATATTTTGAATAGAAAACTTTAATGCATATTCCATACAAATGTAAGTATTTTACGATAATTGGAAGACTAATAATAGCTTAGACATATGCTGAAACGTGCCAAGAATGTGAGTATTTTACTGTGTATTTGGAAGACTAATAGCTTAGACATGCGCCGAAACGTACCAATCTTTGGGAGACTCTTAGCAGAGATTAAAAACCAACATGTGTTGAGGATTCTTATGTTTCCTCCTTAGTTACTACGCTGCAGGATTTGAATATGCTTCGGGTTTCACTTCGATTTCCTTGATGCTTTCTTATAAAGATAGCTTCCGGTTTTTTTACAACAGTGGTTTAGTTATGAACTCTTGGGTTTGCATTACAAGATGACTATCCTCAACTCTGCGGTTTAAGCATTAATTTATTTGTTTGTGGTAAACCTGGACGTAAGACTAAGCAACAGCGTATGAGTTGGTTCAAATAGATGGAATCAGTAAGGATTGAACAGCTTACACTTATATAGTCTAGTACATTCAACATATCCTCCCTATATATTTAGATACTTAGACTATTGTTTTAAAACTTTATTTGTGCTCCCCTAAGTAGTAAGAAATCTAATAAGAACTCAGACAGGATAAAAGGCAACCACATTTATACAAGATATGTCAGTCGTTATTTAACCTTTTCATCTGATATCTCTTAGGTAAGTAATATGTCCTCATAGCATTGTATTTAATACATACTTCTACTAAATTATACAAGCAAAAAGAAAGGACTAAAAGCTCAGACATGCAGAACTGATCCAAATATTTGGGACACACTTAGCAAAGACAAAATCCAACTTGCGTTTGATGGTGCTACTGTTTCTTCCTTACTACGCTGCAGGATTAGGAGAGCTTTGGGTTTAGCGTTTCACTTCGATGTCATTAACGTTTCTTACAAAGATTAGCTTCTGGTTCGTGGCCTGTAAAACCTCACACGCAGCCAGTTAAAGAGAACTCTAACCGAAACCAAATATAAAATATAGATACTCAACAAGTATAACAAGATTACTATCCTCAAGTGTTGGGTTTAAGCATTTATTCCAGTATGGTATGAAAAGTTCATGTAGATCTAAGTTTAGATTAATTAGATATACTATTTTATTCTTTTTAAGCATTCGATCACAGATAACTTTTGTAAAACAAAATCAATTGAGGGGGTTTTTCAGAAAACTTTGACAAAAATTTAACAAACTGTACACAAAATGTAAATCAGTGGATTAAAATTTGAAAAGAACTGAAAATTAATCCAAGATTATAACGATGCCATATGAAGTTTAGTTATACTATTTTTGTCAAAAGATTATTTTCTCTTACAAAAACAAATAGAAGACACTAAAAGTCAGGGTCAAAGCTGGAACATTGAATGTCTAATAATAGCTTCACATATTCTGGGCTATGGGTTTGAATGGGTTTAGTAACAAGGCCCATTACTCTGCACATTGTTTGTCAAGCAAAAGAGAAGAAGATTAGAATCAGAGGAAGCATTTTAAATTCTCCATCAAAGATTGTTTGTCGCTCCGCCAAGCTGACGCGTGTAAACGTCGCCACGTGACGTCTCCGCCAACGCGTTTGGATAAATCACGTCCACTTTTTTGCTTGTTGGGGTATAACAACAAAGTGACATCGGCCTACAAGTGGTTATGGAATTACCACGCGTCTCTTATACACGCCCCGTTCTCGTTGCTAATACGGTACGCCACTACACACCCAATCTTTTCCTCACCTACACTCAACTTACACTGAAGTTAGCTCAACATGCTTTTCTTTTCTTACAAAAATAAAATTTTATTTTCTTGATTAGACGAATATTAACGAGTTATTTCTTAAAATTTATTTGTTTTTGAAGAAATTCATTAATGGTTAATTAGTGATTATCGCCATGCTCTAAGGCTAATAAATCATTGAGATCATGTTAATTATATAATGAAAATTAATCTACAAAATTTGATAGATCTTGGAAAGATTATTACCCAAAAAACGTAATTAGACGTGTACGCGTTTGGTTTAAGGCGTGCCCCCCACGACTCATGGCGCTTAACCAACACCTAAGTCAGCTCCACGGAAAAGGTATGGTCCTTTTTAAAAATATATAGCTAATTTTTATATTAGCTAAAATTTCATCTATTTCGGTTTACCAATTTATTATACTGTTCTTGGTTTTTGACTTTGAACCGGTCTCTCACTGATGACGAATGCCGTATTAGGTCAGCCGTTACCAAGAAATAACCCGGTTTTTAACAGTAAAATTCATGGATACTTCCTTTAGATTCTTTGGTCAATTTTAGTTTACAATCTACATTTTCTGAATTTCTGTATTAAAATGAATTTATTATCACAATAATTGTATAAAATAAACAATATACATAAATATGAAGGTGTTAAATAGAAATAGGTGTTAACATCTGTTTCGGTAGTTAATAAAAAAATTCATCTTTAACTTTTGTAGCATCTTTTTATGTTATTATCTGACACATATTCAAGATCTAACATGTCACGCAATAAAATGATAAAATTCTTGTTGATACTGTAATTAATAATAATCACTTCTATAAGAATTTCATTTTATATTAGGCTTCTTAAAGTAAGAGAGTTATAGTAGTCTGAGACGATAAAAATAAAAAAAATATTGACCGACTATTAACTCGTTCGCCACGTGGTTTCCATATAAAAACAGAGTCCAAACCTCTTCTTCAGCACTTCACTCCATTCTCTTCTCTCAAACGATAGACTCTGAAACTTCTCTCAAAATTGTTTTTTTTCTGATCTCAACTCCAAGAAAGAAAACACAACAGATAAAGATTCGTCTGACTATGGCTCTCGAAGCGATGAATTGTCCGACAAACTCTTCTTCCTTCACAGCACGTAAAGAAAGAATCGAACCAACAACAGACGATCTGATCAACGACGCCGTTTTCATGGAGCCGTGGCTGAAACGCAAACGCTCAAAACGCCAGCGTTCTCGCAGCCCTTCTTCCTCGCCGCCTCGTTCTCGCCCCAAATCTCAAGATCTCACGGAGGAAGAGTACCTCGCTCTCTGTCTCCTCATGCTCGCGAAAGACCCCAAACCCCAGACGCGACCGCAAGAATCCGCAACGCTGTCGCACAATTGTAGCGTCTGCGGAAAAGCGTTTCCTTCTTACCAGGCCTTAGGCGGACACAAAGCCAGCCACCGAATCAAACCTCCAACCGCCGCAGACGACTCAGCACCTCCGAGCATCGCCGTCGCCAGAGGTTCCACCACCATCGCACCGTCCGGGAAGATCCACGAGTGTTCCATCTGCCATAAAGTGTTCCCCACGGGTCAAGCTCTCGGCGGCCACAAACGCTGCCACTACGAAGGAACCCTAGGCGGTGGCGGCGGAGGAAGCAAGTCGGTTAGCCAGAGTGGAAGCGTGACGAGTACGGTTTCTGAAGAACGAAGCAACAGAGGAGGATTCATTGACCTAAACCTCCCTGCGTTACCTGAGCTTAGCCTTCGAGTCGTCGACGAAGAGATTCAAAGTCCTTTGACCGGTAAAAAACCGGTTTTGTCGACCAATCAAGACCAAGTCATCAAGAAAGAAGATTTCTCTCTCAGAATCTAATACTTTTCCGTTAAACAATTACAGTTGTTTTTTTTTTTTTGTTTCTTTAGTTTCTGGGATTGGGGTATATTCATATATGTTTAGGCGATTTGTTACAGATTTAATTGATGGATTGATTAAAAACCAGAATTTTCGTTTTTTTTTTTCTCTCTAATTTGTTGTTAATTAGCTGCGAATCTCTTGAGTCCACTCTGTGAAATGAATGACACGTGGCGTTGTTTATGTGAACGCATAGAATAAATAGTTGGGGGGAACGAACGAGAATCCTTCCATGTGGATTCGTTGCCTTGATTAGCATTTACCACATGATTATTAATTTGGTTCATATATAACTAATTATACTGTATTTTTTTTTAGTTTTGTTTACTGGCCACTAAAACTATAGTGTATACACCTAGCTCTTTTTCTTTATTCGTATCAATCGTTATTAATTGCACATGTGTTTAGCAATGCATGCATCATTATTTAATTTTGTTGATTATATGGAATCATAAATACAGATGTGACCACGAATCTGTTCATTGGTTCTTTGTATATCCTTAACTTGCGTAACTTCCTTGGCCACTGAACATTAATTCCAGCCTAACTTCTTTCTACCATGCACCAAATTTTAGCAAAAAAAAAAAATTTCTTTCTACCAATTATGTTAACCATCTGACTAATTGGTTGTTTTGTTTTGCTTTCATACTACTGAAACTGTATTTGCGCGTGTACGGTTTCACCTAATCTCCCTAATGAGAACCATACACGTTATTAAGTATTAATAAATTCATTAATTAATACACGTCGCAAATTCAACAACCACATAGGTAGGTCTTCGTTGATTCTATGTTCTTAAAATATATTACTAACCTTTTTACCGATAAAAGAACATAGTCTGTTTAATTGTAAAGTGACTGCGATTTTGATCTGACGGTGCTGTTGTATCTATCTTGCACAAAAGGAAATCTAAATAAAGTGGGACGTTCAGAGAAAAGTAAACCCCCAAGTATGGTATTAGAAGTTTAGAACAGAAGTAAATTTTATAAATTATAAATTATGTAAATGATAAGTACATAATAACCTAATACAATTGGAAAGATAAGAATACTGAAAATATAATAGAAATATCAATTAGATCCATTCCATTCGTGTTTATTTTGCATATAAACTGTGATGTTCTTGGTGTGTTGCCAAACTATAATTTATCCAAACACATTCTTAAAAAACCTTTCATTTATTTTTATGTTCTTATTATCTGTCTAAAATAATAATATATAAAAAGGATCACTTGGTCACCAATCTTGGGTGTCGCTGTTGATTGTACTTAACAAACAAGAATAATGACGTCATTGGTCTGGTTCGTTAAGCACACTGAAACAAGTACTCGAAAAGCACTAAGCCACTGATGCTGCGGGAAGAGAACGACAAGACATTTGTAAAAACGACAAGAAGTCTACACACAGAAACAAGGAACGATCTAGAATAGAATGAAAGTTTATTCTAAATAAATTAGGAAACTGTTATGTCAACAAAAGAAAAGGAACCTGTGATGTTCATCTAACTAAAATAAACTGAATGTCGATCCATTAGGAGAAAGCAACACGACAAAAGAGTAAATCAGCGATTAGGCAGTTACTAATTAAAATATATATTTTTTTCTTCTTATTTACATGTATCTTCTTACTTCACTAGAGAACAAATGCAAGAGATTCATTGTATTATTTATTGTATGCATGTAAAGACTAAAGCTAACAAACATCACACTCCATTCCTTTTACCTTTCTAATCTCCAAAACAAGAACTTACGTAAAGACACAGATGACTCCGAGAATCTTACCTTGATCCGGTTTTGAAAAGAAAGGCAATGGGAATGTAAACATTGTTATGGAGTGGTATGAGAGAAGTCGTCATAAGCTCACAGGAGACATCAATTTCTACAGTTGCGTCAGGTCAGGTTTGTTGTACCCAGCTTAGTTGTATCATGTGCGTCTTCATGCTACTGTCCACAGCGTAGCAAGAGGCATTCATTTTGCTTATTAAAAAGTTGAGCAGGAAGCAATATGCAAAAGGGAAGAGAAAAGTGGAAAGCAGAGAGTTCATTATTTAACCTGCATGCATAGCTGCTATTATAGATAAGAATTTTTTTCTCATGCATGCAGTGATGTTCACTAGTTCCGCCATTACAATTCATTTCATCTACCTACAAATTACATCAAACAATAAAAATACAAATGCACGGAGATAAGATGATAATAATAATGACATTTTATGAGCTAACACTAGCAGGAACCGTCACAAAATAACATACCAACAAAACAAAAGGATGAATGAATGAATCTGAGAAAGAAAGATCTAACCAATATACGCACACAAGTTCTTCTTGTTCGATGGTGTTAATACACATCTCGATTCTCCAAACAGTGCATTTTGGAGCTATGCTGTTACCAACACATCCTTGGTTTCAGCTGTAATTACTTGTTCCTTACACAATACATAATTACTCTATATCCGAGAGTTATCAGTAGTCATCAAATCTGTTTCTATCTAGGGGAACACAACAAAAAGAGAGCATCATGAAGATGGATGCAATTCTCAAAGAACACAGCTACGTGGAGGAAGCCCAATATAAGATTCTGTGTAATAAGCGGATCATGTAATTATGCTCCAAGTCTCCAAAGATACGTGTAAACATAAATTGAACATTTTCTTAAGGCTTCTGGGATATATATATATATATATATATCTGTGATTTGTAATTGTTGATAGATTTGATAGATATAAGACAAGAAGTGAGGTTGTTGTTTATACTCGGCAGTATTCTTGCTCTGTTTTTAACTTCGAGTACAAGCAACCACATAAGCAAGACAATAACAAAACAATACCAAATGAAACTATTGTATCTAATACCTTGCGGCCTAACTTGTATGTAGATTAGGATGACAAAACTCATTAGAGAAGAGCAAAGTTTAGTTTTGTTGGTGTCTTATTAACTGCATAGAAACAATGCGCCAGTCTTTTTCAAAAACAAAAACAAAAAAACATATGACAAGGACTAATAATCCCGTAATTTCCTTTTGCGTCGTGCATGTACTGGACCTTTCTGAATCTGCACCGAACTTGGAACGTAAGAGCAAACAAGTGGCCAACATTGAGATTCTCCGAGAGCCACTCTTGCGAAGTAATTATTCTCTCCAATCACGTAAGCTCTGTTGCAGTTATAATTATCCCAAATCAATACCACTTTCTTATTCTCGTCGACGAAGAAACTCCCACACGGAGGAAACCTCCAAGATACTTTAACGAACGGCTTTATATCAACTTTTAAGAAATTTCTCCATGTCATCTCATTGGCCTCCTCCCCAATCTTTGTTGTAATCCGTATCTCAATCTCATATGTACCCACGCGGTGAAATAACACTGCAAGCTGCTCTTCTCTTACAGAAGATAGAATCACAGTGTCTCCATTACGAGAGTTAGAATCCAGATCAAGACAATGTCTAAGTCTCTCACTTGTAAAATCAAAACATATTAAAGTTTCTCTTATCTCTAATTGTCTTAATTTCATACAGACAAAGTAAATATTCCCTTTCAAAGACAAGCCCATCTGAGGAGTATCCGGTATAATCCAGGGATCAGGAGTGAGGTCAAGATCCCTCCATGAATCAGATTTAAAATCGTATATTTCGTGCTCAACACTACCATCGCAGTAATCCAAAAACCTCAAGATTTTGTGGTTGTTCTTGTTGTCGTATCCGATACAATACCTATCCGAGATGTATAATCTGGGTTTGATCCACCTGACTTGTCCCAAGTACGGGTTCCATACCACGGGATTAGGCCTCGTCATACTGTATTCGGGAATGCATAACAATAGACCATTACAATGATAGACTTCAGATACCTTGATCCGATTAAGTTCACCTAATAGCTTTGTAGGTAGCTTAACAGAGCCATGTTTTTGGTTATGGACTCCGTGAAGATCAACGCTCAGTAAACAAACCCTAGAATTACGCACCATTATCACCCTAGTATCGTTAGCTGCTTTACCACGGTGTTTCTTTGTAAAACTCTGATCTTTACATAAACCGTTCCATTGTTTGCAAGTGGATCTCACCTGAGATGTTAACGGAACCCTACAGAGTATCTCCTCTAACAAATCTTGCGAAAGATCAGAGATTCTTGTCATTGTTTCAAGCAAAAAAAGGTTTAGGTTTTTTTAGCTAACTTGCCCAGTAATCTTTTTTATAAAGACAAATAAGATTGCTATTTATGCGTCACAAAGAGGCATAGAAAACTCCTTTTCCTTCTCAAGTATGGTTTAAGAAGTTAATTTAAAGCTATAAAAATTTCTTGTTTTTAAATTAAAAAATGGAAATAGCTTTATGTGCATGGTAGAATTCTTGATCTGATTATTTTTTCCTTTTCTCTTAATTTCCAAAACAGAGGATCTAGATTCCAGATCACGAATATTTTCTTTTCTAGTCTGAGTTTGAGGTTCGACACAAATAGTTAACAAGGTGAACCGTGACAGACGAACCATTAGTCGGAAGACACTTTAAATTCGGATCAGACAATATAGTACTCAGTCCACTTTTTAGCAATAAGTGTGTTCCTCCTGGGACTGATGAGTCCATAAGATATATCAAAAAAGTATTTGTTTCTTTATGTTCTGACAATTTACTATGTACACAAACTAAAACTTTAAGAAGTTACTGGAGACGGGTTTAGCACCACTGTCAAGGTCATTCCTAAATTATAAACGGCTCATTTGATAAATGGAATGCCATAAAAATGTGAAGTTAACAAGGAAAAAGAAACTGGCGAAAAAGAAAAAGAAGTAGGCGTAGATACATAAAAAAAACATAAATTAAACACTTTTAAGAAAGCTTCTCGGAGATTAGATATGTGGTTTCTAATTCTGGTTGAAACCAAGAAAAGGGCCATTCTCAGCATCCTTTTGGTAGACGCGATGGAGCATGTTCAATTCAAGATTATATTCAAGAACCTGATCTGGTAGTAAAGCTCCAAAGATATATATATATATATATATATGTGATTTGTAATTCTTGCTAGATAATATAGATTATGACAAGAAGGGAAGTTATATCCTAGTGGCAGTCTTGTTCTGTTTTTAACTTTAATTACAAGAAACCACATGAGCTAGATAAAACAATACATATAAAACTATGTATTTAATAATGTTGGGTCGACGATCTATTTCCCTACGAAAAGTATCATATAGCACCAAATGTCCACGGAATTATGTTTCCGTTCTATTTACCCCCGAGAATAAAGTTTGCAACCTATTTTCCCATCAAATTTGGTTTAGTTATGATTTCTGAAAACCGAATTTCAATCTCCACTCTCATATAACAAAACTAAACCAAGACAAAATTAAAAACCCGACAAAACCTTGATCTGGATCAGAATAGTAACCCAATCCAACAACCGAAC